AAGTGTCGAGTCTCTGACTCATATTCCAAACCTATACTGCTTTCTCCGCAATAATTTCATTTATTAACTTGTGCCTCGTACTTATTATACAGGTACGGATGCAAAAGATCAGAAAATAAAAGAATTGGAAGAAAAACTAATAACACTTCAGCGCGAGAAGATTGCAACCTCGTAAGAGAAACTATTCATAGTATGCAAGCTATTATGTGGTGTGCTTCCGATATAACTAATAATTTTTGTAATGCAGATCTTCATCAACTACAAAGCGACGTTTTTCCGATTTGGATAATTATGAAGAAGGTTGGTTGTATAACATATGTCCGCATCTGTAGAATTTTTGTGATCTCGACTAAACTCTTCCAATCTATACAGAACAACAAAGAAATGTAAAAAAGATTCGGGATTACCTTCCCCCATCATCCTTTGCACTTATTAATAATCTCATTAAATATCATGATAAGGATAAGCAATTACTTATTCACTGTCCTCCAGAATGCGTTGGCCCACCGGTACAAGTTTACCATGATGTTTTCAATCAGTTTCTGCGTGACTATCATAACAAAGATTTAGAAATGGGAAAAGAACATTATCAATGGACTCTTGAACTCATCTATGAAATGGCAAAAATGTATCAGAATGAATCTGAGCGTTCTAAAAAATTTAGAGAAAAATTTCGACAATTGTTCGACGAAGATTTAAAAATAATTCGCCTAGATGATGATTCTTCAAATGATGGTACATTGGAATGTAATTACCATTCATTGAGTGTATTACGCCTACTTACTGAGATAAAAAATGAAATTGGTACTGGCAAATGTGATCCGACTACCCAGGCTGGAGTTTCTTATGCGAAATATTATACCCAGGAGAAAAATGAGGAGTTGCTCAAACAATACAACTGGCCGTCTTTTATCTTATGCTTAGCTGGACCTTGGGTGTGTATTTTAGGAGCAGTATACGTTGAGAAACCCATCGTAGATCCCTTGACAGACTTCATACCTCTTATTCCTACAAACATTCGAGATCACACAGAGCGAGTGGCATGACTATTCAAAGCTTTGTGTTTGGGAGTTAATAGGCTAAAGGAGTATTATGGATCGCTAGATGCACCTTCAAATCCACAAAATTCACAGCGGTTTTTTCCTTATCCGAATCGATACAAACAACAGGATATAACTATAGAATTTACATATGAAAAAAAGCTTGTAGATCAGCCAGACAAGCTTCTTTGGAAAGCTATAACAAAGGACGGGCGGGAGATTGTTGTGAAATTCACATGGCGTTATAATCAGAGGGCACACGAATTGTGTAGCGAAATTGGAAAAGCGCCAAAATTACTCTACATTAACAAAGAGGTGGTGGATGGTTTTTATATGGTAGTGATGGATTATGTTAAGGCCAAGCCACTTTACAACTGCGGTAGCTCACTCACTCATGATGAGTGTAAAACGATTTTTGAGGATATCGAAGAAGCTATCAGTAAATTACATAAGGAAAATATCGTCTTTGCTGACCTCCGTGATTCCAATATCTTGGTAACAAATCTCAAGATCAATATCAAGGAATGTTAATAGATTTCGATTGGGCCGGTGAGGAAGGAATTGAGTGCTATCCATCCTTCATGAACCACGAATATATTAATTGGCCACCAGGAGTTGAAGATAGGAAGAAACTGAGTCGGGAACATGATACGCATTGGTTGAAGTTATTGAAATCTAAATACTTAGGTGAGAGTGTAGAGCTCGAATGATTAGTTAGCATGGTGTTTGAGAATAAAGTAGAAAAAAAAACAATTATGTCTAACAAGCTGTGCATGTATTCAATATAATTTGTTTTTGATGATATAACAATAAACAAATCCTTGAGCTAATCATATTCGTACATTTTGGCAATATTCCTATCTCTTGATTTTGTTTACGAGAATTAAAATATTTATTACCTGCTCCTTTGATTATGGATTTCGCCCGAAAATTTTAATTTTCGATTTATTAGTCGGGTCGGGTAATCTTAATGTACATATTTATTATTTGAACACGTTTGCGCACACCTCCGTAAAAGTATATTCTTCATGCCAAAGAAATGCCCTTATTATTGAGTTATTTTTAACGATACTTAGCAAGCGATAAAATTTATGCGTTTTATTTTTGCTGTACAAATAAAGCTGACCCCAGTTGCTGATTTCGCATAAATAATCAGTTTACTTTTGTGTGTGTATTCTTACCGATGTATGCTAACCCACATATGACTGATAATTTTTAAAAATTGGAATGAACACATAATGTTTTTATTTTGAATATATCCGCATTTTATGTAAAACGATGGCAGATTCACAAACTACAATTGCTTCGTTAAGAGAATTAAATTCTAAACTCACAGTCGAGATTACCGAACTTAGAAAGAAGTACGCTAAGACTGAGGCTGAAAAGGCTGAACTTGAGGTTAAGAATACTGAGCTTTTAAAACGGATTATGGAAGAAAACAGCAAACGCGAAGCTGATCATACAAAACTTAAAGAAGATACTACTAGCCTCAAGACCAAAAACACTGAGCTTAAAGCCGAAGTAGCGAAATTAAGACATGATATTGAGGAAATCAAAAAGAAAGATCAAACCATTTCTAATATACAGGAT